GGTATTTGATGTTTTGGGGCATACAACATAGGAATACATGACTTAATAACAACCAAAAAGGAATGTGGTGGAGCTGTTCCATGAGCAGAGTCTTTTGTATGTTGGTTTTTTAAGATTTATTTATTTGAAACTCAGTGCTACAGAGGGACAGACAGAGGAAGAGAGATCTTCCATCTGCTGATTAATTCCCCAAATGGCTGCAATCACCAGGGCTGAGTTAAGCAGGAGCCAGGAGCTTCATCTTTGTCTCCCACATGGTGGCAGGGCACAAGCACTTAGGCCATCTTCTGTTACTTTTCCTAGGCCATTAGCAGGGAGCTGGATTAGAAATGGAGCAGCCAGGACTTGAACCAGCACTCATATGGGATACCGGCATCACAGGTTGTGGCTTCACCTGCTACATTACAACACTGGCCACTTGTATGTTGTTAAAGCTAAGCTGGTGTAAATTCAAATGAGAATGTTGCAACTTTTGGGTATTAAATGGAATAACCATGGCAACCACAAAGAAGGCAGATATAGAATATATATGTATATATACAGAAGGACATGGGAAAAGAATTTAAATGTTTCACTGAAAAAAATCAACTACAGACAAGAGAAAATAGTACTGGAGGAAATGAGGAACAGAAAAAGCTCTAAGGCATACAGACACAGCAGATGATAGCAGTCCCTCCCTATAAGTCATTACATGAAAGTGGTCTAAGATTCTGATCAAACTATAGAGATTGGCAGAATGGTAGGAAGCATCACTGTATTCCTAAAGTTGTACTTATGAAATACATGAAGTTTGTATTCCTTAAATAAAAGTTTTCTTTGGGGGGGGGGGGATACTTAGAGGTGACTAAAAAGAAAAGTCTCCTTAAAACCTATGTGATGCTGCAAAAGCAGTCCTAAAAAGGAAATTTATAAACACAATGAAATCCAGAAAACCACAAATCAAGGAAATAGAAAAATAAGAACAAAAGGAGAAAAAAACTAAATCCAAAACTATCCGAAAGAAGGAAATAATGAAGATTAAAGCTGAAATAAAGAGAAAAATCAGTGAATCTGTAGGCTGTTTCTTTGGAAACATCAGCAAAATTAACCGACTTTTTTTTTTAGCTAGTTGGACTATGAAAAAACAGAGAAGATTGAAATTACTAAGCCAGAAATGAAAGTGGGGACAGATATAAACGCAATCACAGAGAATCCTGTGAACAACTGTATGCCAAAAAATGGTTAACCCAGATGAAATGGACAAACTGTTAGAAACACAAAACCTACCAAGACAAAATTACACACACACAAAAATAGAAAATTTGAATAGATCCCTAACTTTAAGCAGACCGAGTCATAATCTAGTATCTCCAAAGAAAATCCCTGGACCTGATGGCTTAAGGTGAATTCTGCCAACTTGAAAGAACTAACAGAATTCTTCAAAAAATCTGAAGGAGAAGATCATGTATTCAATTTAAAAAGAGATCAAAGAGGAGGGAACACATCCTAAATCATTCTATGGGCCAGTATTACTCTGATACCAGAGCCAGACTAAGACACTGTAAGACCAGTATCCTTGATGAACACTGATCAAAAATTCCTCAGTAGCACACTAAAAGGATTATATACCATGACCAAGTGGGACTTAGAATGCAAGGATGGCTGAACATTACAAATTTCAATGTGATACACTATATTAGCAGGAAAAAACACATTATCTCAAGTAATGCAGAAAAAAAATTCAACATCCTTTCATGATAAATGCACTCAACAAACTAAGAAGATAAGGAAACTACCTCAACATAATAAAAACCATACACAAAAATCTCACAGTGAAAGTCATACTCAATGGTTTGAAAGATCAAGAGTTTTCCCTCTGTTAGAAACAAGGTGAGGTTGCCTGCTTTTGTCATTTCTATTTAACATAGTAGGAGAAGTTCTAGCCTGAGAAACTGGACAAGAAGAAACAGTCATCCAAACTGGAAAAGAATAATATCTGTGTTTTCAGAATATATGATTTTACATGTAGATAATCCCAAAGATTACAAAAAAACCTGTTAAAGAATGAATTTAACAAGGTAGCAAGACAAGGTCACATGAAATCAGTTGCATTTCTCCTTAAAATATTTTTCATTTATTTTGAAATAGAGAACAAGATTTGAAATGAAGAGAGAGAGACAAAGAGAGAACACGCATGCTTCCATCTACTGGGTCACTACCCAAATACCCACAACAAGACTGGCAAGGTCAGGAAACTGGAAGTCAACATAGGTCTCCCATATAGGTGGCAGACTCAAGTACTTGAGCCATCATTTGCTGCCTCCCAGAATGTGTGTTAGCAGGAAGCTGGACTGTAAGATGAAGGGCTGAGACTGGAACCAAGCCCTGATAGAGAATGTGGGTGTTGCAAGTCGCAATTTAACTGCTGTGCCAAATGCCTGCCCCCACAATTGCATTTCTATATGCCACAAATGATCTGAAAAGGAATTTATAGAAACAGTTCTACTTATACTACCATCAAAAAGAGCAAAATAGGATGTAATTTAATGAAGGTGACAGGCTTAAACACTGAGAACTAGAATATGTTGCTGAAGAAATTTTAAAAAAATAGAAACACATCTTAGGTTCATGGACTGGGAGACAATTTGTGTGTGGGTCTGGAAATAGAAAGCAATCCTAGGATCCTTATGGAATCTTGGGAACTCAAATGGCTAAAACAATCCTGATAAAGAGAATGAAGCTGGAGGATAACATTCTGATTTCAAAACTTGCTCCAAGATAGAGATCAAAACAGGTAGTCCTGGTATAAAGACAGACATCGATACTAATGGAACAAAAGAGAGTCCAGAAACAAAGCCTCATATATGTGGTCTTTTGGCAATAGTGCCAAGACCATTAATGGGGAAGGAACAGTTTTTTCAGTAAATGATCCGTGGAAAACTGGATCTCCAGATGCAAAGAATGAAGTGGGACTCTCACCTAATGCCATATACACAGATTAACTCAATGTGGATCAAAGACAACATCTGAAATGATAAGTCTTTGAGGAAAACCACAGGTTAAAAGCTTTATGATACTGGTGTTGGCAGTTAGTTCTTGGATATGACAACAAAGGCACAGGCAATTGAAGAAAAAACATAAATGTACTTCATGTAAATTCATAGCTCAAAAAACACTATCATGGCAAAAAGTCAACCCACAGAATGGGAGAAAACATTTGCAAATCATACATATGATAAGGGGCTAATATCCAGAATACACAGAAAATTCCTCTAACTCAACAACAAAAACCCAAACAACCCAATTTAAAAATGGGCAAAGGACTTGGATAACTATTTCTCCAGATATATAAATGACAAGAGATCACACGAAGATGCCAACATCAGTAATCATTAGAAAAATGCAATGTACAGCAATTAGCTATCACTTGAACTCCGTTAGATTGACTACCATAGAACCACAACCGAAAACCAGAAACTACCCAGTGCAGGTGAGGATGTTGTGCAATTGGAACTCTTGTGCAGCTGCTATGGAAGGCTGCACTGTAGTGCCTCAAAACAATTAAAAAGAGTTACCATGGATCCAGTAACCCCACTCCTGTGTAAATATCTAAAAGAATTGAAAGAATCTCAAAGACATATTTGTACACTCACGTTCATAAAAGCATTCACAATGGCTAAAATGTGGAAGCAAATCAAATGACAGATGAATGGATAAGCAAAAGATGGTATACCCATACTATGGAATGTTTATTAAAAGCCTTAAAAACAGAATCTCTGCAGTATGCTACAACACAGGTAAACCTGCAGACATCATGCTAAAGTTAGCGATAAAAAGGTAACATTTCATTGATAGGAATAGTCAGATTCAGAGATGGAAAGTAGAACAGCCATCTTAAGGGGCAAGACGGGAGGAAGGGAGGTACTGTGCGGTGGGTATGGGGTTCCACCGTTACAAGACGAAAGGGTCGGATGGTGATTGTTGCTCACTGCGAATGCACTTAATGCCATTGGACTATACACCTAAAATTGTTAAGATGATTGATTTTATGCGTATTTTGCCACAGTAAACAGCATCTCAGGGTAGACATCTGGTGCAGAGGTTGACACCCTATCAGGGTGCCAGGGCTGCAGTCCCACGGGGCTGGCTGGTTCCACGTGGGGGACCCACCGAGATCAGGGCGCCCAGTTTCTGGGCCTAGGTCCCGAGCGTTGTGGGCATTTGCGGGAGCGAACCAGCCCTGCGAGCCCTCTGTCAAACAAACAAGCATAATAACTTCTAAAGGAAACGAATGGAAGACATCTAGTCAGTCAACCTAGAGTGAGCTCGGAACCAGGTGCACGCACCCTCCCCGCTCGCGGGACGGAGGTCCGGGAGCCTGAGGAGAATGTTCGTCTCCGACAGCTGTCCCGGACGTCATCGCGGGCGCTGGGCCTGCCTTTCTTCCCTAACTCCACTCACACGACAGCACGAGAAACTCGAGAGAACGCGAAGCAGCACCGAGGCACGGCCCGCTCCGAGCCCCCGCCCACTCGGCCAGCTCCCGCGCGCCGGGCGCGGCGGCACTTCCGGGGCGGGCGCTGCGCGCGGCACTTCCGGGAGCCGCGCCGCGCCGCTGCTCGCGCTCGCGCAGTGCGCACGGCCGCGCTTGGCGATCGGCGATCCAATTGGCCTGCGCGGCGCCCCACTCGCCTCCCGGCCGAGCGCGCGCACGCCCGCGCCCCCGGCGCCGGCCCCTGCGTCCCGTCGCCATTCGGAGGCCGCGCCCGCAGGCCCCGCGGAGTCGCTGCCGCCCGAGCCGGGCCTCCCCGCCGGCCTCGCCCACCTGGACGCCGCCGCGGCCGGGACCGGTGAGGGGCGGGCGCGGGCGGGCGGGGGCGGGGTCCGCGCCGCGGACTCCGAGCGCGGGGCCGGCCGGTCCGAAGGCAGGGTCCGCCGGCCGCTGGCGTCCCGGGCAGCGGGAAGGACCCCTCCCCGGAGGCGGGCGTGGGTCGCCATTGTGCAGGGGGCGGGCGGGCCTGGGGCGTTTTGTGTAAAGCGGAGACGGGCTCGGTTTCGGCCCCAGAGGTGGCTGTCTTCTCGCGCGTGCGGGGCTCCTGCCGCTCGTTGTGCCCGCAAGCCCGCTAGGCAGGCCACAGCCCGGGAGCGGACGTTTGCAAATCCTAACTCGGGTGTAGGGTCTGTACCCGGGACACAGGACTGCACTGGGCAGCGCCGCGTCCGGATGGGTATTTGCCCGGAGACGACACCCGGAGGGCGGGTTAGCCGTTGGGAAGCTGCAGCTAACCCCCCGCGAGGGCGCACCTCACACCTGTTAGGGTGGCTGAACACAAAAGGCACTGGAGTGTGGTTGAGGAAGTGAAGTCGGAACTGGGCCCGTTGCCGGTGGAGCCCCGGGCCGACCCGCAGGGTGGGAGGCCGCCGCTCGGATGCCGACCCCGGGTACCAGCAGAGCAAGCTGAGGTGGTTACGTATCATCCCCAGAAGCAGTGAGCCGCTGATACTTGGCTGTGGGATGGATGAACCTTTAAACATGTTAAGTGAAATAAGACACAAAGGGACAAACACGGACGATTTCTTCCACTCAGGAGACCAGGCTGTGGGAAGCAGGGAACAGGATTGATTGCGATGATTAAAGAGTTCTGGAAATGGATCTTGGTGATGGTTGCTTATACTTAACGGATGAAGTTGTGCTTTAAAAAATGATAAGTTTTTGGTTCAGGTTTCCCGCACTTTAAAAAGGTAGAACTACAGAGATATTGAAAAGACTGGTAATTGTTAGGAACACAGGGAATTTTCATGTTGGTGAAATTACTGTGACTGTCATGGTACATGTGTGACTGTATGTCTGCCAAAACCCATGAAATTGCAACATGAAGACTGGCTCCTCTAAGCTGTTAACCCGAGTTAATAACAGACCAGTGTTAGCCATCCCAACTGCAGGATGTTAAGGAAGGCTGGGCAGGGGATTGGGAGGATGTATTGGGGGTTTCTCTTCTTTCTGTTCAGGTTCTTTTAAACAAAATTACTTGAAAAATAGTGTTTAAAAGTCAAAGCGGGGTGCAGAATAGTGCTGGTGTGTGTTTAGACGAATAGAACCCTTCAAATGTGCATGACATGTTGACTTTTTTATTTAAAAATCTACATGAAAATATACTTAAAAAATGACCAGTGGTGTTAGATTTCAAGGAAGAAATTGGATGGGAAATGGGAATTGATGTGACAGCACCTGGACCAGCAGTGCGTTGAAGAATTCTGAGTGATGGGCTGGCAGAGCATTGTTTCAACAAGGTACAGCCTGTAGAGACAGAAGAGAAAATTTCATTACCCTGGACAATTTAGACTTTTTGTCTGAAATTAGAAAATACATTGACTAGAATCTTCCAGCTGGAGGGACTCAATTCTGTGACTTCGCTGTGTGTCCTGTGCTGAGGGAAAGGCAGCCTTGCTGTTACAGCGGAGATCTAGAACCAGGAATCCAGGGTGTTCCTTTGCTTCCTCTGACCTAATCCTTATCTCTGACAGGTCGCTTGTCTCAGAATCAGCTTTCTCAGTGGTAAAATGAAGAGGTTGGTCTCAAGTCCTGTGAAGATCAGTAGCTTCTAGTCACGGAGTGTTACCACTGGACCAAGAAGCTTGTCTAGTTCAGGATGGAGTAATTTGTTTTCTTACTGGCTTCTGCTTGTTGCTTCTAAGGAGACCTTAGACAACATTCATAATTCTTCCCCCTTTGAAGTGAAATGTTTGTATTCACAGACATGTTTTTAAAGACTGCTGCCATCATTGTTGCTTGCTGCTGCTTTTTTAAAAAAATGTATTTTCATTTATTTGAAAGGTAGGGTGGGAGAAAGGACATATCATTTTAATCTCCAAACTGTATCTGTGAATTACATTGAACCTGATAAAAACTTAAAAAAAAAAAACCAGAAATTAACAAATCACAATAATGAAAGATCCAGGAAAACTCAAGATACTAAAATTAAACCACATCATCTAAATAAAAAAATGAAGGTAGTGCAATAGAAAGATTTTCCATTCATTAGTTCATTCCCCAAATGCGCACCACAGAATCTGGGTCTCTCATAGGGGTGACAGAGACCCAACAACTTGAGCTATTGCTGCTGCATCAGCAGGAAGCTGGAATCAGAGGCAGAGCTGGGACTTGAACCCAGGCAGTCTTGACATGGAATGTGGGCATCTCAAATGGAACTTTTTTTTTTTTTTTTAAATTTCATTTTATTTATTTGGGAGGCAGAGTGGCAGAGAGATGGAGAAACAGAAAGAGATCTTTTTGCTGTTTCATTCCCCAATTAGCTGCATTGGCTAGGGCTGGGCCAGGGTGAAGCCAGGAGCTTGGAACTCTATCCAGGTCGCCAACATGGGTGGGAGGCACCCAAATACTGGGGCGTTTCCCCCTGCTTTCCCAGGTGGAGCTGGATTGGAAGTAGAGCAGATGGGACTCAACTGGTGCTCAGATATGTGATGCCAGCTTAACCTGCTGCACCACAACGCCAGCCCCATAAGTGGAATCTTAACTGCTAGACCAAACACCCACCTGTGTTGCTTTCTTTTGATAAGTGGATTCTAAATGTTTGATGAACTTAATTTTGTGAGTTTTGACCTATTGTACTGGCTTTTCAAGATCTTACTAAATTCTACTATATTAGCTTGATCTTGATATACTGAAAGGACCTGAATCGATAGTAGAACTTTATTCTTTTATTTGCCACATACTGATCATTTGCCTGATCTTGGGCAAGCAACATCAAGTTTGAGCTTCCTCAATGGTAAACTAAAATTTTCTTCAAAAAAAAAAATATGCTTATTTATTTTGAAAGGCTGAGTTAGAGAGAGAGGAAATAGATCTTCCATCTGCTGGTTCACTCCCCAGATTGCCTCAACAGCTGGATATGGGCCAGGCTGAAGCCAGGAGCTTTATCCTGCTCTCCTACATGAGTGGCATGAGCCCAGGCACTTGGGCCATCCTCTGTTGCTTTCCTAGGATCATTAGCAGGAGCTGGACTGGAAGTGGAGCAGCTGGGACTTGAACTGGCGACCATATGGGATGCTAGTGTTGCAGGCAGTAGCTTAACCCACTAAGCCACAATGCCGGCTCCAATTGAAGATCTTTTCCTGCCTTCAAATTCTATGATTTTGAGACTAGATGATAGTTCAGATTGTCTCTAATTTTAAAACGGAATTAATGTTAAGATTGTGTCCCCAGTCTTCATGAGACAAGGTTAAGATCAGACAGATATTTTCTGAGCACACAGTGTGTGCCAGGATGTGCACAGTTACAGAGGTGAACAAACAGTTGTGTAGCCCTTGTTCTTTGAGAACCCGTGACCTGATTTGGAGTTAGGCTACAGTGCTAGAGGGTGACTGCTATGTTGGAGGTATGCATGCAGCTGGGAGGCCAAGGAAGGTTGGGAGGGAGTGGGAAATAGGCCCTTACTTAAAGAGACAGGTGTCTGAAGGATGCAAGAATTTGCCTGATTGCTGGGGGACAAGATGGGAAGTGTAAAGGAGAGGGAACATCTTGTGAATAGGCCCAGAGGCTTGGAGAGCTGGAGGATTACACATGGGCCAGTACTTGGAAAAAGTGGTCTAGTCAGGGGCCAGACTGTGAGGAGCTTTGGGTGCCACGTTCTAATTTTGCAGTATAGCTGTTTGGGACACTTTAAGGAATTGTGAGCAGGAAGTCACATTGGGCTTTTATGTTTGGAAAGTGACTTTTTTTTTTTTTTTTTTTTTTTTTTGACAGGCAGAGTGGACAGTGAGAGAGACAGAGAGAAAGGTCTTCCTTTTGCTGTTGGTTCACCCTCCAATGGCCGCCGCGGCCGGCGCGCTGCTGCCGGTGCACCGCGCTGATCCGATGGCAGGAGCCAGGTGCTTATCCTGGTCTCCCATGGGGTGCAGGGCCCAAGCACTTGGGCCATCCTCCACTGCACTCCCGGGCCACAGCAGAGAGCTGGCCTGGAAGAGGGGCAACCGGGACAGGATCCGGTGCCCCGACTGGGACTAGAACTCGGTGTGCCGGCGCCGCAAGGCGGAGGATCAGCCTGGTGAGCCGCGGCACCAGCCTGGAAGGTGACTTTGATAGTGGCATGATGAGTGGGTTGGAAGGAAAAGAAACCAGGCACAGAATCAACCCAAATACCTGTAAGCTGAAGACTGGATAAAGAAATTATGGGATATATATACACCATGGAATACTACACAGTAGTAAAAGAAAAAAATGAATGAAACTGGAAAACATACTTAGTAAAATAAGCTAGTCCCAAAAGGACAAATATCATATGTTCTCCCTGATCTGTGATAACTAATAGAGCACCTAAAAGGTAATATAGAAGTGAAATTAACACTTTGAGATGCAATGACTTTAAACAGTTCTTCACTATTGAGGAACAGTTTTTTCATACATTTGTTGAACTCTACTTAGTATAGAGTTAATCGTATGTGTATAAAGTTAATTGAAAATAGATCTTAGTAAAAAATAAGAATGGGAATAGGAGAAGTGGGAATGGGTGGGAGGAATCACTATATTCCTAAAGTATTTTGAAATGCAAAAAAAAAAAAAAAAAAAAAAGTAAAGCAGTGCCAAGTTGGGAATAGTGGAAGTTTTGGGTAGATGTGCACTAGCTTATCAGCAGTGTACTATAGCTTGTGCATGGCCAGTTTATCCTGTTCTGTTCTTGTTAACAAACTTAGACCGTGAGCAGATTTCTCTTTGAAATACATGGAGGAAGGCCAGTGCCGTGGCTCACTTGGCTAATCCTCCGCCTGCGGCGCCGGTACCCCGGGTTCTCGTCCCAGCTGGGGCGCTGGGTTCTGTCCCGGTTGCTCCTCTTCTAGTCCAGCTCTCTGCTGTGGCCCAGGAAGGCAGTGGAGGATGGCCCAAGTGCTTGGGCCATGCACCTGCATGGGAAACCAGGAGGAAGCACCTGGCTTTGGATTGGCACAGTGCACCAGCCGTAGCGGCCATTATGGGGATGAACCAACAGAAGGAAGACCTTTCTCTCTCTCTCTCACTGTCTAACTCTGCCTGTCAAAAAAAGAAAAAAAAAAAAAAAGAAAAATACATGGAGGAGGAAGAGACAGGAAGCAGCCACTGAAGTAGACCTGTCTTCTCTTTGACAAAACTGCTATCTTACCTTCAACACACTTCTTCCTTTTTGCCACTTGGCCTTTAGATTATGTGTCCTTCCTCCTCTCTGTGATAATTTGCCACTCTCTGTATAATACCAACGATTAACACATCAGCTGCTGCTCCTGTATTTACACCAGCAGTCTTCTGTGAACCTGTCAGAGAAGTAAAAGTAGGAGTTAGTGTTCCCCAAGACCACATGAGCTGAAGGTAGATGGTGGGTTTGAGAATGGTTGGGCATAATTCCATTGTGAGTTATTAAAATGAAGGACAGGCCGGCGCCGCGGCTCACTAGGCTAATCCTCCGCCTTGCGGCGCCAGCATTCCGGGTTCTAGTCCCTGTCGGGGCGCCGGATTCTGTCCCGGTTGCCCCTCTTCCAGGCCGGCTCTCTGCTGTGGCCCAGGAGTGCAGTGGAGGATGGCCCAAGTGCTTGGGCCCTGCACCCCATGGGAGACCAGGATAAGTACCTGGCTCCTGCCATTGGATCAGCGCGGTGCGCCGGCCGCAGCACGCTGGCAGTGGCGGCCATTGGAGGGTGAACCAACTGCAAAGGAAGACCTTTCTTTCTGTCTCCCTCTCTCACTGTCCACTCTGCCTTTCAAAAAATAAAATACGGTGAAGGACAGTGTCATGATGATTTCTGCTGCAGCCTTTGTTTGATTAAGATAAATGGTGTGTTTGTTAGATTGGATCCCTCTCACTGTTGGATAGGGCTGGTGAGAAAAATACTCAGAAGTCTTTTAGTACTAGTCAGAATTACCATTGAGATGTGGTGTTTTGATTACCTTTTCTTTTTTTCTTCCAGGTTCAGTTGTCGTCACTGTCCTTCTCTATGCACTATAGGCTGTTTTCTATGGTTTAGTAAAAAGCCATGTAGACTGCTTGTCCTGTGAAGACCACTTTTAAGGTGTCAGACTTCTGGTAAGTCTAACAAGGAAAAGCATGTTGGTCTTTGTTTTTTCCCTATTTTAAAAACTTTCTTCCTGAATTTACAAAGTGTTATTCTATTACTGCTTCTTTACTTATTTATTTATTTGAAAGGCAGAGTTAAACAGAGAGAGACAGGCAGAGAGAGAGAAAGGTCTTCCATCTGGAGGTTCACTCCCCAGTCGACCGCAACTTGAGATGTAGAGTTAGAGAGGGAGCGCTGGAGAAAGAGGTCTTTCATCTGCTGGTTTGCTCACCAAATGGCCTCAGTGGCCGGAGCTGGCCGATCGGAAGCCAGGAGCCAGGAGCTTCTTCCAGGTCTCCCACATGGGTACAGAGGCCCAAGCACTTGGCCCATCTTCTACTGTTTTTTCAGACCATCAGCAGGGAGCTGGATAGGAAGTGGATAAGCTGGGACTCAAACCACTGCCAAATGGATTGGATGCCGCACCGCAAGTAGATGCTTAACCCACTACGCTACAGCACCAGATCTTACTTCTTTCTTTCTTCTTTTTTAAGATGTATTTTATTTATTTATTTATTTATTTGAAAGGCAGAATGATAGTAGCCAGGTCTGGGCTAGGCCAAAGCCAAGAGCCAGGAACTCCTTCCAGGTCTCCTACATGGGTGGCAGGAACCCAAGCACTTGGGCCATCTTCTGTTGCCTTCCCTGAAGTGTTAGCAGGGAGCTGAATCAAAAGCAGAGGAGCTGGGCTGTGAACTGGCACTCAGATATGGGAAGTTGGCTCTTTACACTGTTTCTTTGCTTTACTGTAATTTCTCATTTTTTAATGTTTCAGAGAATATTTTATGATTGTAAAATTTTTGAAAAGTATTTAGAGTTCTTAAGAAAAATCATAAAGCATAGGTACCCAGATCTGTGGTAATGTATGAATATGTGTGCACATACTGATGATAAAATTTGGGATATAAGAAGTGAATTCTAGAACTTTTTTTTACTTTTTTTTCTATTCATTTGAAATGCAGAGCCACCAAGAGAGAATGGGAGGGCCAGAAAGGTCCTCCAACTGCTGGTTCACTCCCCAAAGGGCCATGACAGCAGAGCTGGGCTAATTTGAATCCAGGCGCCAGGATCCTCTTCCGGGTGTCCCATGTAGGTGCAGAGGTCCAAGTACATGGGCCCTCCTCCACTGCCTCTGAGGCCATCAGCTGGGAGCTAGATTGGAAGTGGAACAGCCAGGACCTCAACCAGCATCCATGTGGGATGCCGGCACTACAGGCAGAGGCCCACCCCACTACACCATGGCACCGCCCCCTAGAACATTCTTTTTTAAAAAAATTATTAAGTATTTGAGAGGCACAGAGACAGAGCCGGGGCTGGGCAAGGCTGAAGCTGGAAACTGAGAACTTGATCTGGGTCTTCCATGTAGGTGACAGGGACCCAACTACTTGAACCATCACTGCTATGCAATAACAGGGTATACAATAGCAGGAAACAAATGGGCAGCAGAGCCAGGACTTCAGCTTAGGCACATGGATGTGAGATGTGAGTGTCCTAAGCAGCATCTTAACTGCTGGGCCAAATACCACCCCTGTAAGCATTGTTTTAAACATATTTCTCTCAAGTAAGAGGTGATTAGGCTTAGTAATAGACAAGTATCATAAGTAACAAAAACTTCGAGATTGGCCAGAAGAGTGGTGGTCTGGGTGGGGAGCAGTTGGGAGATAAAGGGAATAACACATGAATGTGACTCAGACCCAGCGACCTGAGTTCTTAGCTGCCATAGTTCCTTTTAAAGATACAAAAAAATTTGATGTTAGCATCTGTAGGTGTTCCTTATTGCCATGCAGGACAAGGTGGGATCATGAAGACAAATCTGCCCTTTTCCCCTGAAGTTGTATTGAACATTGACACTGAAGTAACTTGTTTTCTTCATTATGTTTGTAAGTTAAAGATTTTTTTAACAAATTTTTCTTCAGCATTAAATTGTGGTTTTCTTTTGTTATTGTCCTTCAAGCCCTAAAAGCAATTTTCTAGAATTGTCTATCGCCCTTTTAGCTTTAGACCATCCCTACCTCAAGGCAAATGATATACTACAGGGCACAAAACAATTGATTTGCTAAATGAGTGAATAAAATATATAATATTAAGAGGAGCAGAACATTGCAAGATATGTTGAAATTAAACCAGCATCAGATTTAAAAAAAAATTTTAAGGGCTGGCTCTGTGGTGCAGCGGGTTAACGCCCTGGGCTGAGTGCCGGCATTCCATATGGGCACCGGTTCTAGTCCCAGCTGCTGCTCTTCCAATCCAGCTCTCTGCTATGGCCTGGGAAAGCAGTAGAAGATGGCCCAAGTCCTTGGGCCCCTGCACCCACGTGGGAGAGCCGGAAGAAGCTCCTAGCTCCTGGCTTCGGATCGGCGCAGCTCCTGTCATTGTGGCCAACTGGGGAGTGAACCATCGGATGGAAGACCTCTCTCTCTCTCTCTGCATAACTCTGACTTTCAAATAAATAAATAAATTTTAAAAAATTAGCTAGATTTAGTTAAATGATTTTTGAAGAGCATTTAAAGTTTCTTGCTCAGCCTTAAATAGCCTAGATTTAATTTTAGTATTTACTCATCTTTGTATGCTTCTGATTTGTTGGTTCAGGGTTTTAGAGTCAAATTGTAAAGCCATTCAGTAGATAATTCTGTGGTCAGGCACAGGTCCTATAAAGCTGAGGGTCCTGTAAACTGGACCAGATTAGTTAAGTTGCTTTTCAGTTTCTTCATCTGTAGATGAAAATAATACTTGAATCGTACCATTAGGAGGATTGAATGAGATGGTATATGTAAAACTCCTGACAGGGTGAAGATATCTGGGATTCAGTTAAAAATCAGGTTGCTATCTCTTTTCGTTTCAGAGTCTTCATAGAGATAAAGCATGTGCTATTCTAGACTTACAGTTATAGAATGGATTAGGATAGCATTTTGTTAAAACTTGTGTTCTATGAAAATAATTTATTTCTTCTTTACTGCAGCATATAAAGTGTTTGGAGAATCCAGTTGTGTGTGTTGTGACAGGAAGAATGGAAGTGTTCCCGGAGCTTCAGAAGCCATCGACGCGCTGGGAGTGTGACCACTGCAGTTTCAGAGGCACAGACTATGAAAATGTACAGATCCACATGGGCACCATCCATCCAGAATTTTGTGATGAAATGGATGCTGGTGGGTTAGGTAAAATGATATTTTACCAGAAAAGTGCAAAGCTGTTTCACTGCCATAAATGCTTTTTCACTAGCAAGATGTACTCTAATGTGTATTACCATATCACATCCAAACATGCAGCCCCAGAGAGGTGGAATGATAAACCAAAACATCAGTTGAACAAAGACACAGATCCTGTGAAAAGCCCTCCTCTTTCTGAGCACCAGAAAATGTCCTCTAACTCTGCAGAGCTCCTGAAAGCTATACCTACCCTTTCTATGGAAACACAAAAACTTGGTCCAGTTTTGTCGCCAGAATCACCAAAACCTACCCCTCTAACTCCCCTGGAGCCTCAGAAACCCGGACCTGTTGTTTCTCCTGACTTGCAGACACCTCTTCCTTCTCCTGAGCCGTCAAAACCTGCTCCCGTTTCTTCTGAACTTCCAAAATCAGGCCCTGTTTTGGAATCTCAAAAACCCGTTCCTTCTCCAGAGCCACAGAAACTTGCCCCTCTATCTCCTGAACTAGTAAAGGCTCCTCTTGTTAATCCCAAATCCCAGAAACACACTCATTTCCCAGAAACATTGGGGCCACCTTCAGCCTTATCTCCAGAGTCACCTGTTCTGGCTGCCTCCCCTGAACCTTGGGGACCTTCCCCAACTGCATCTCCAGAGTCTCGAAAGCCAGCCCAGACTGCTTCTCCTGAGCCAAGGAAGCCATCCCCATCCGAGTCTCCTGAACCTTGGAAGCCATTCCCTGCTGTCTCCCCAGAGCCTAGGAGACCAGCCCCAGCGGTATCACCAGGTTCTTGGAAGCCAGGGCCTCCTGGGTCACCCAGGCCTTGGAAATCCAGTCCATCAGCCGCATCTGGACCTTGGAAGCCAGCTAAACCTGCTCCATCTGTGTCTCCTGGACCCTGGAGACCCATTCCTTCCATATCACCTGGACCTTGGAAGCCAGCTCCATCTGCATCCCCTGCGTCCTGGAAGTCTTCGTCAGTCTCTTCTGGGTCCTGGAAAACTCCTCCCACATCTCCTGAGTCATGGAAGTCTGGCCCCCCAGAACTCCGAAAGACAGCCTCCACGTTGTCACCTGAACACTGGAAGGCAGTTCCCCCAGTGTCTCCTGAGCTTCGCAAAGCAGGCCCACCGCTATCCCCAGAGATCCGTAGTCCAGCAGGATCTCCAGAGCTCAGAAAACCATCAGGGTCACCAGACTTGTGGAAGCGTTCTCCTGAGCAGCGAAAAACTTCTCCTGGTTCACTTGATTTTCCTGAATCCCAGAAGAGTTCTCGTGGTGGTTCTCCTGATATCTGGAAGTCTTCCTTTTTTATTGAACCTCAGAAACCTGTCTTCCCAGAGACCAGGAAGCCAGGTCCTCCTGGGCCATCTGAGTCCCCCAAAGCAGCCTCGGATATCTGGAAGCCCATTCTCTCTATTGATACTGAGCCTAGAAAACCTACTCTCTTTCCTGAGTCTACCAAAACGGCACCTCCTGCTTCTCCTGAACCACGAAAACGTGCGCTTTTCCCAGAGCCATGGAAACACAGCCTTTTCCCTGAACTTCCCCGATCGGCCGTATTCTCAGAGTCTCAGAAGGCCGTCGAGCTTAGTGGTGAATTACAAATAGATGCCCTAGGTGATCAAAAGTGTGATATTTTGGTTCAAGAAGAACTTCTAGGTACACCTAAGAAACTCTTGGAAGATACTCTATTTCCGTCTTCAAAGAAGCTGAAGAAAGACAACCAAGACAGCTCAGATGCCGAGCTCAGTAGTAGTGAGTATATAAAGACAGATCTGGACGCAGTAGACCTCAAGGGGCAAGAATCAAGTAGTGATCAAGAGCAGGTGGATGTGGAATCGGTTGATTTTAGCAAAGACAACAAAATGGACATGACTAGTCCAGAACAGTCCAAAAATGTACTACAGTTTACCGAAGAAAAAGAAGCATTTATCTCTGAAGAAGAGATTGCAAAATATATGAAGCGTGGAAAAGGAAAGTATTATTGCAAAATTTGTTGCTGCCGGGCTATGAAAAAAGGTGCTGTTTTGCATCATTTGGTTAATAAACATAATGTCCATAGCCCTTACAAATGCACAATTTGTGGAAAGGCTTTTCTTTTGGAATCTCTCCTTAAGAATCATGTAGCAGCCCATGGGCAAAGTTTACTTAAATGTCCACGTTGTAATTTTGAATCAAATTTCCCAAGAGGCTTTAAGAAACATTTAACTCATTGTCAAAGCCGGCATAATGAAGAGGCAAACAAGAAGCTCATGGAAGCTCTGGAGCCGCCCATGGAGGAGCAGCAGATCTGACTGAAACATGAATGTTAGCTCTGCAGAGCTGTCTGTTGAAACCGTTCTTTGAAATTGTAGCTCATTAAATAGTCTAGATGGATTGGTAGATGTGGAAGTGTATTGTGTACCGTATTTAATGGTCTAAGTAGTGTTACAAAGAGTAAGCATTTGGTTGTTTTTTTAAAATAGTCTTTGTTTATGTGGCTATCTTGTAAATCAGTAATTTCTACTATATTCCATATGGATAAAACATTTCTTTTAAGTATATTTGAATAATGCAAATGGGGTAGGCATTCCATTTAGTAACCAAGAACAAGCTGTACTCCAACCATCTAGTTAAAGTGTATCTGTGTGTGTCTGTGTGAAAGTAATTTCCGACAACAAAAATTATTTGTTGGAATGTGTAAGAATTAGGCATGAAACAAATTTGAGAAAAGTTTTGTTCCCTTAAATGTATTTTCAAACCATAAAAGTTATTTTCTATTTGATCAAGTAAAATTAGTTTATAAATCTTGAACAGTTTCTAGATGTTTATTAGCTTTTATGTCATGGAAAGTTGGAGTCTCAGGGTTGCTAATTTTCTGCTAACAGGGAGCATTGAGTAAGTCCTTAAAGATACTTTGCAGCCTTCTCCTACAGGAGACTAAGAGAGATGTTAAGTGTGATTTGCGGTCTGTCTTGTCCTTTGTTGTTTCCGGTGGAGTCTTCCATTTGGTTCCCTGTCCTATGATCTGGCCCTTCACTTTCCCTGCCAGCTCACACTGACAGAGCATCCTTAATTGCCAAATGTGTTAGAGCTTGTACCTTCCACTCCTGGGCCTCACATATCACCTTTTGGGACTTAAGACCAGGGTAATGAGTGTGGCTGAAAGTCTTCCAGATTCACAATAAAAAATTCTAAATAGAGATTTCTGTTTGAGAATTCTGTCAGGTTTCCCCCCCCACACACAGTTCTATTACTGTAAATACCTTGTACCTGTTTGTGGATTATTTTATTCTAAAATATTTTGTCAGGTGTGTATCAACCAAATTAAAAACAAAGGCTTTTGTGTCAGTTATGTCTTCATGTATGTTTCCTTTTGTGTAATTTTCATTGTATGATATTCAAGTCCCATTTTTTCTTTCCTTTTTCCACTTGTTGTGTACATGCTGGTTTTCATATCTGTAGCATTTTTGAAGCTGTGTTTTCTCTGAATTCTCTGGTCTGTTGGGTTAGGAAGATACTATGTAGAAACTCTGACCTGTGCATATTAGCATATTAAAAGTGGTTTAGGGGGCAGGTGTTGTGACACAGTAGGTTAAACCACCACTTCATTAGAGTGCTGTTTCACATCCTGGCTACTTTGCTTCTGATCCAGCTTCCTGCTAGTGCATTCTGGGAGGCAGCATGATAGCTTAAGTGCATGGGACACCCACATGCAGTTCCAGGCTCCTGGCTTCAGCCTGGCCCAGCCCTGGCTGGCATTTGGGGAGTGAACTGGTAGGTGATGGTTCTCTCTCTCTCTCTTTCTCTCTCTCTCCCCCCCCCTCCCCCCCATCCTCCCCCTCCCTCTCCCCACCCCAATCTCTTGCCCCTTCTAACAGTGCCTTTCAAATAGGTGAAAATAAACTTTTTTATAGTAGTTTAATTGCAGTGGTTGCATATTTTGTCTGCCTCATTTAAACTGTTAGGTATTCAGTGTCACAAAGGATTCTTATGTGTAGCCAGCACTGAGAGTCTACTATTTAGCCTTATGGTCTTAACCCTGTTTGATTCATCTACTTTTTTACCTTTAAACTCAGAGTGAGTTGTGCTGGATCTTTAAAACTTATTTTAATTTAGCCTTAACAATTTTGCCCCATGTATAAAAGCATCTCTAGTAAATATAACCAACCCAGTACATTTTCATTTTCTTACTCTGTAATTAGTTATTTTTAATGAGCTCTCAGTCTACTTTACACAATACTAAAGAGAATGAAAAATATTACCATCTTTTATTTACATTAATGGACTTTATGTCATTACATTTTATATGACCATTTAAGTTTTACTCTGCATATCCATAGCCAACACTACTTTTGTTATTTTGTCTTTTTTTTAAATGTATTTATTTGAAAGGCATAGAGACAGAGCTCTTCTGTCCACTGGTTCATTTCCCAAATGCCTGCAACAACCTGGGGCTGGGCCAGGCTGAAGTCAGGAGCTCAGAACTCAATCCAGATCTCCCATTTGGGTGGCAAAGACCCAAGAACTTGAGCCGTCAGTTCTGTGTCCCAGGATGTGCATTAGCAGGAATCAGGGCTGGAAGTGGAGGTGGAACTTGAACCCAGGTGCTATGAAATAGGATGCAAGTGTCCCAGCTTGTTACTTAGCTGTTAAGCCAAATAACCAGCTGCTCCCTTTGTTTTTAATATTGGTGTTTGTAAGTGTCTTGGATGAACATGTGTATCAAGTTTCTACAAGCATCACAGTTATAGGCACAGGTCCCCTTTTAAATGAATTGCAGCCCCAGATCTAGAAAACCCTGAAATTGTATTCCTTTCTCAATCTGAAAAGTTACTTTTGATTTGTATGTAGTTTTAATCACATGGTATACTAGTTTCCTATTGCTGTCACAAATTGCCTGAGATTTAGTGACTTACAATAATAAATGCATCCTCACTTATCTGCAGTTCACTGGGCTAAAGGAGTCAACAAGGCTGCACTTCCTCCTGGAGGCCCTAGGGGAGCACCTGGTCCCTGTCCTTAGCAGCTTCCAGAGGCTGCTTACACTCCTTGGCCATTGGTTCCCTTCCCGCATCTTTTTTTTAAGATTTTATTTATTTGAGAGGTGGAATTACAGACAGAGGGAGAGACAGAGAGAAAGGTCTTTCTTCTATTGGTTCACTCCCCAAATGGCTGCAACCACTGGAGCTGTGCCAATCCAGAGCCAGGAGCTTCTTTCAGGTCTCCATGCAGGTGCAGAGGCCCAAACATTTGGGCCATCTCCCACTGCTTTCCCAGGCCACAGCAGAGAGCTGGTTTGGAAGAGGAGCAGCCAGGACTCGAACCGGTGCTCATATGGGATGCCAGTGCCGCAGGTAGAGGATTAACCCTCTGCGCCACGGCGCTGGCCCTCCCCTTCCTGCATCTTTAGATGCCAGTAGCATAGCGTCCCTCTCTCTGACACTCCTGCTTCTCTCAAGGGCACGGGTGATTACACTGGGTCTACCCAGACAATCTAAGGTCATATTCCTGTTAAGGATTAACAATCCCTGGCCGGCGCGGCGGCTCACTAGGCTAATCCTCCGCCTTGCGGTGCTGGCACACTGGGTTCTAGTCCCGGTCGTGGCACCAGATTCTATCCTGGTTGCCCCTCTTCCAGGCCAGCTCTCTGCTGTGGCCAGGGAGTGCAGTGGAGGATGGCCCAAGTGCTTGGGCCCTGCACCCCATGGGAGACCAGGATAAGTACCTGGCTCCTGCCATCGGATCAGCGCGGTGCGCCGGCCGCAGCGCGCCGGCAGTGGCGGCCATTGGAGGGTGAACCAACGGCAAAAAGGAAGACCTTTCTCTCTGTCTCTCTCTCTCACTGTCCACTCTGCCTGTCAAAAAAAAAAAAAAAATCCCAAAATCCCAATTCACCTTTCCTATGTAATTTGCTGTATCCACAGGTTCTGGTGATTTAGGTCTCTGTCTACCACACCTAGGCTTAAATTTTGAGTTCTCACTCCTTGCTGTGGCCTGTAACAGCCATGTTGGGTTTCTACGGTCACTGCATAGATGGTGCAGTAGACTGCTCACATTCTGGCTTCCAGTGTCAATCCCAGCCCACCTCTTCACACCAAAGTGAGGTCTCACTGATACTATGTTGCATTCCTAATAAAAATGATCCCTTAAAGTCCAGTTACTGCCACTGGCAAACCATCGTCAAGCAGCCTTGCTGTCACACCTAAATGCCTCAGGAGCCACGCTCATTATCCCTTCTTCCCTAGTCTGTAATCATCCTGTTTTCCTATTTTTTTTTTAATGTTGTGTGTGCTATGTTAGCATTTTTAAATTGTTTTTGTTTTTCCCCCACAGGCCTTTTATTTAAGGAATATAAGCTTCATACATCTCATAATTACAACTTTAGGAACTTGGTGATTCTTCCCACTGTACCTGCCCTCCCACCCCTCTTGCTCTTCCCTCTCGTATTCCCACTCTTATTTTTTTTTTACTAAGATCTACTTTTAAATTAACTTTATACACACATGATTAACTATGTTAAGAGTTTAACAAGTAGTATAAAAAAACTCTTCCTCAATAGTCGAGACAAGGGCTATTCAAAGTCATTGCTTCTCAAAGTGCCAATTTCACTTCTGCAGATTGCCTTTTAGGTGCTGTTATTGCAGGTCAGAGAGAACATGTGGTATTTGTTTTTCCTACTAAAGGCCCCTGCTCCTCGCTACATTTGGCACAGTTCTTTCTGTCTTTCAAGGCTACTCTTGCCAAACTGCCTTTTAATTTATGAATTAGACCAATTCTGCAGGATTGGGTTGGACCCCATTAGTGTTAATGGGGTGCTTGTGCTTTTATTCTGTATTCACCAGACTCTACACTCAACCCCAAAACTGAAGACACTGCTGAAATAAAACAAGAGGTTTTAATTCCTTTGATTTGGATCAACTAGGAGCTAAGTTGGTTTGAGTGTAAAGTTAGCTTTTTGCTTGCAACTTCAGCCAGTGTTTTCTACATGCTTGTTCTGGAGAGTGTTACGTGAAGGTGGGAAGTAGGTTAGGGCAAATCCATTTCCACTGTGGAAAAGTAACACAAGTCACTGCTTTGGATTACTGCTGCTAATGGTAGTGGATTATTATTTTACATGAAAGGAAGCAGTGGTAATGTAGTTGAAAGCACAGGCTCAACCTGTCTAAAGCCATACAGTCCAGTACTAGAGGCAATGGCCACAGGTGATTGAGTGATTGAAACCTGGCTAGTCTGAAACGAGATACAAGTGTACTTCAAAAAGTTTGTAAAAAATGGACCTGGCCTTTTAGCACAGCAGGTTAAGCCACCACCTGAGATGCCAGCGTCCCTTATGAGAGTGTCAGTTCAAGTCCCTGCGCTTCTGCCTCTGATCCAGCTCCCTGCTAATGAGCCAGTAAACAGTGGAAGATGGTTCAAGTACTTGGGGCCCTGCAACCCATAAGGGAGACTCAGATGAAGTTCTAAGCTCCTAAGTTTGGCCCAGCCCCAGCTGTCGTGGCCATCTGGGGAGTGAACCAGAGGATGGAAGATTTCTTTCTGTTGCTCCCTGTCACTCTGGCTTTCAGATAAATACATTTTTTTTTTTAAGATTTTAAAGATTTTGTAAAAGGTTTTTTAAAAAAGATTTATTTATTTATTTGAAAGGCAGAGTTACACAGACAGGCAGAGAGGGAGAGAGAAGGGTCTTCCATCCTCTGGTTCACCCCCCAGATGATTGCAATGGCCAGAGCTGCGCCGATCCAAAACCAGGAGCCAGGAGCTTCTTCCCAGTCTCCCATGGAGGTGCAGATGCCCAAGGACATCTACTGCTTTCCCAGGCCATAGCAGAGAACTGGATCAAAAGTGGAGCAGCGAGGAATCAAAACGGCACCCATATGGGGTGCTGGCACTACAGGCGGTGGCTTTACCCACTGTGCCACAGCACCGGCTCCAATAAGATAAATCCTTAAAAATGAGAATAAAAAGCTTGCAGAAAATTAAATTAAGAAGATGTTGATTTTGTTGTAAAAAAAAAAAAAAATGGAAGTCCGGCTGGCGCCACAGCTCACTTGGCTAATCCTCTGCCTGCGGCGCTGGCACCCCAGGTTCTAGTCCCGGTTGCTCCTCTTCCAGTCCAGCTCTCTGCTGTGGCCCAGGAAGGCAGTGGAGGATGGCCCAAGTGCTTGGGCCCTGCACCCGCATGGGAGACCGGGAGGAAGCACCTGGCTCCTGGCTTCGGATCAGCGCAGTGCACTGGCCGTAGCGGCCATTTGGGGTGAACCAATGGAAGGAAGACCTTTCTCTCTGTCTCTTTCTCTAAATCTGCCTGTCCAAAAAAAAAAAAAAAAAAAAAAAAAAAAAAAAAAAAA